GTAGGGCACGGGTGGGTATACCTGAAATGGCAGCAAAGAAATGGGGACACTGACTGGGGCTCCTTGATTTCCTAATTGTTCTGATAATAGTGCAATGAAATGTTGACCTGTACTGCTGGACCACAAGTGGACTTCTGCTGTTCTGAAGGCAGCATGGTAGGGGTCACTGCACAGGACCCTGCATTGGGGCGTCCCTTCCTCTGAGTCCTTAATTTGGTTTCCTGCTTGCCATTGCGCCCCTGTGCTCCTCTGATCTCGAGGAAACGGGCCTTTGATGGGCTGATGGCTCCTGAGAGCTGCCTGGGGCAAGGTATTATTTGGGCTCCCCTTCCTGAAGTTGTCTCTCTGTGCTCCTTTGTGGGTGTGCAGATGAGCTTTTAGCCCATATTACCAAACCCCTGGGGCTCGCTGTGCCTCTGCAGCCTGCCGTCAGCTCCGCTTCCCTCTCCTGACAGGCACAGCAGTGAGGTGATGCTCACGCTGCCACACACTGCTCTGAGCCCTTCTCACATCACAGCAGAAGCCAGACAGCCTCCGGCAGCCAACAGAGCATGACTCAACCACCCACATGTACCCGGCCCCATCCTCGCTACCTCTTTTATTTTTCCCCTGTCTCCTTCCCCTTGGACAGAAGCACCTTCACTTTTCTAAGAGCATCCTGATGCTGCACGTTCACTACCACTTGGAAAAGTCTCATTGACAACACAACCACCCTCATCATCCTGTAACAAACCCTCAAAACAAAAGCCTGCATCAAAACTACATGGAGAGTAGTAACAGCTGGAGAATTCAAATTAATGCAATGACAACTTTTTTTTTGTATTATTAAAGAGAGAACAAAAAGCTTTTTTTTTTCGTTTTGTCTGTTTTGTTTTCCTTCAAGCCTCCTTCCTCCTTCAGTCTCTCCTGCTTGTCACCACTATCCAGAAAATGGGAACAAGGAAAAGTCAAAGGAGGAAAAAAAATCCTGTGGCAAATCTAAAATATCTCACTGCACAGTCTCTCTATAAAGACTCTGAAAGTGGGAGGCAGCCTTGCAGGCACTAACCAAAGCGGATGGGCTGACCTCGGACAGCAGCTGAACACCCACACAACCACTCGCTCGCTCTCCCCGCAGTGGGAAGGGGGAGAGAACAGGAAGAACAGAAGTGAGAATGTTTGTAGATCCAGATAAGGACAGTTTAGAAACTGAAGGAAAGCAAAAAAAAAACCCTAAACCAAACAACACAACCCAAAAAACCCCAAGCAATGCAGAGGCAATCACTCACCACCTCCCACCAGCAGACCCATGCTCAGCCAGTCTCCCAGCAACGGCTGCCCTGGCAGACAAAAGCCCTAGTTTTATTGCTAAAGTTGACGCTGCATGGCATAGCATGACATAGAATATGCCTTTGGCCAATTCGGGTCATCTGTCCTGGCTGTGTCCCCTCCAGTCTCCTGCCCATGCCCAACCTACTTGCTGGGGTGGCAAAAAAAACCCAAGCCTTGACACTGTGCAAGCACTGTTCAGCAACAGCCAACACACTGGTGTGTTATCAACAGTTTTAGCCACAAATCCAAAACATCACACCATGCAGACAGCTATGAAGAAAGTCAACTCCACCTCAGCCAGACCCAGTACAATCTCCACCCCTTGTTCCACACCATTTGCACCGTATTCAGGTCCTACACTCTCAGCACATCCCCATCCATCATGATCCCCTTTGCCCTTTGACATACACACAGACATTGTTCCCTTATTCTGTGGGACATCCCCCAAATGTCCAAAGGACTCCAATCAGTTTATTTGTTTCATGACTTGCGCTCCACATAACAGCTTTCCACATCAGATGGTTTCGCACTACACAACAGGATCCACTGGTAAACAGGGTATATTGCCTTTCACTTTCTGCTAATTTATTATAGTCTTGGGTCTGATCTGTTGTTGCAGAGACGGACACGACACTCAATATCCAGTTACAGCAATCGTCCTCCTTTATTTTACAAGCAGTGCTCTTTTATATCCTCTTAGCTGGTTGCTGATCTGTGCATATATTCTAACATTCTACTTTTGCCCAATCCACTCTCACATCACACACCATTCAGCCAATACAATTGATGATCACGCACTGTTCATGCTCTGGGAAAAGCCAGGATGTTTGCCACCCCTTATCTTGTTTGCTCGGATCTTCTCAGGATTCTTCTGTCTCCTCAAGGGTACACGGGTATCTGTTCAGGGTCAGTGTTAAACTTGTATTTTGATCCCTTGGACCAGCCGAGGTCTCCCACACTGATCCACCTCCTCAGGTGATGCTCTGAAATCTGTGCCTCCTGGCCAAACCATGATCTCTTGCATGACTCATGGCCAGCTGGTGTTTCCCATTTGAGCCCATTGTGTGATCAACACTACCCACTTACTCCATGTAGCGTTGTTTGCATGAGGTGTAGAAGACACATCTAGTGCAGCACAGGCACCTTGGATTCTTGACAGTCTCAGCTCCAGAACCCTAGAGGTCAACCTTGGGGCTTTCCTGGTGTTTTCTGCCTGGTGAGGCCATGCTCCCCAACTACAGTGTTGACCACAGTTCTCATACCTGGTCCCGTCTGGATGGGCCCAAGGGCTACCTCACAAGCTACCTCCTGTCTGTCCTGCTGCTGTTTGGGGCCCAACTGGAAACAGTTCTTCTTCTGGGTCACTTGATAGAGAGGACTCATTAGCTGACTGTGACCCAGAATGTGCAGTCTCTGGAAACTCACTATGCCTAGTAAAGCTTGCATTTCTTTTTTGTTAGCTGATGGAAACTTGACTGTTACCTTACTGATCACATCCATGGGGATGTCACGATGCTGATCTTGCCATAACAACAAGGTTGGAAACATCTATTCTGGAGAAGAGGAGGAAGGTCTCCACGAGATGGTTCCCGGAGTCCCGGGATGGCAGCAATGCAGGGGCCAAACGCCAGACTTGGCTCAAGGCCAGTGCTTTTATCACAGGTCTCCCAGGCAAAGCAGAACACAGTGATAAACAGCACGGCGAACACCAAAAGCTGAAAGCACCCGTTAAGAAGCCCTGGAGTTCAATGTGCAGCAAGAAAGGGGGCAAATAAATCACCAAGTTGCAGCTAAACAGCTACAAATCCAGCCTGGCACACCCTGACTGACACTGTCGTTACGTGAAGCCCCACGCCGGATGCTAAAAAGACGGCAGAGGACAGGCCCCACCAGCAGCCAAATGCCCACTCAGCCGCTCGCTCACACCCTGCACCCCGCTCCCCATGAGGTGGGGTGAGACAGGGGAGAACAACACAGTCCGTGGGTCGAGATAACGTCGGTTTCAGGGCTGAAGGAGTGAGGCAAATGCAGGCCGCGATGAGGCCGTTGCTCTGGGCCTACCGCTACCAACTGGTGCCCAGCCAACCGCTGGCTGCGGCCACCTCAGCAGCCACCCCCCAC